GGGTGACACGGGCGGTTGCCCGGGGCGGCATCGTGGTGGGGGGCGGCATCACGGGCATCGGCAAAAAACTAAAATAAAATTGCTCGTACTCATGCCAGCGCATACTGGGGATGGCATAGGCACCGATCGGTTTTCTATCACCCATCTGCTGGCAGTAAGGGAGCCCTCCATCTGCGAGGTGCGCCTGCTGCTTGCAGTACAGGGAGGGGAGGGCGGGGTGGCGGGGGATTTTCTGGCTGGCTGGAGCAGCATCTAATAACCAACTCGCAAAATAAAACAAAATAAAAACAAACCAACAAACACGAAAACACCTAACATTATGATACAGAGGGAGTATTCACCCAGAGCGCCAAACGGGCTAGGACCGCCACTGTTAGTAAGTAAAGGACCATAATGGCGTTTACCTTGCCAAACAGATCAGGCTGTGCAGTCCTCTTGCCCCTCCGGTCTATGGTTCTCCAGGGGATGTGGATCGTCAAAGAGGCCTTAATCATACAGCCCCTCCCTAAGAAGTTGCCATCATCCAGCTGCTTCAAAGCCCTTTTGCAGCTCCAGTGACTCTTCTAAGCAGACTTTTAAGCTTCCAGACTTCTGCTTGTAAGTTTTCTGCTTTAAGGTTAAGGCCAGTAGGGGAGGGATGATTGTCAGGCTGGCTACCTCAGCTTCAGAGTCACCATCATTGTCCTCATTCTTCTCATTATGAGCTTCTCTCTCCAGAAGATCATTATGGCGGAGTGGAAAGAGCTTTCACACAAAGTGTTTTTGAACCCTCAGATGCTTTCAGGTCTCATAATAATGTCCCTCTTTATTAATGCTATCAAAGTCGCTAGGGCTCGACTACATTTGTGGCCACAAGGATCATATGGCTACAAACGGAAGTACTCTTCTGTAGGCAACCGTTTTAGGCACAGACTGACGCTCTCCCAAGCATCTAAATATTGTCATCTTCGCAAAGTGTTGCCCAGAGGTGGGAAGTAACAAAGTACAAATACTCTGTTACTGTACTTAGTAGAATTTTCAGGTATCAATCCTAAGTCATTTCTGTTTGTGTAATAATGACCAGGGGATGTCGCATAAAAAGGGTTTTTTTTTATTTTTCTTGCAGTAACACCAGAACAACTGCAGGTGTCCATAAGTTTCAGTTGCAGTACTTCAGCATCTAGCTAGCCCTACAGAAAACAAGCAACCATGCAGGCAATAATGCCTTTTCAGTGGCAGGTAATTTCAAATGCAGCAAACACACAAACTGTTTGTGTGCAGTTTGTCACACAGTGTGTTGCAGCTAAAGGCGCAGCTGCTGTATTTCACAGGGAGAGAAAAGACAGAGAGCTAACTTTTGACACAGATGGAGAAAGATAAAAAAGGCAATAGTAGAAGATGATTACCATTATGCAAATGTACTGTTTAAAAGGTTGGAAGCCTTCCATTTAGCTGAGACTGAAGAAGTCACCTGGAGCAGTGACGAAATGTTTCTCCCACTGAAAACGTCCAGAAGAACAGAATCAACTTTTGGGAAGGCTGAGGGAGCTTTGCACATGGAGCCCTGTCAGCTCTGTCGGCATGGAGGGATGCAGGAAAGCGTAAAAAACATCACAGTTCTAGAAGCATACAAAAAAGGACTAGATTGATTATGATGTATGTACAGTAATGCAGATGTAGCATAAGGACCTGGCAAACTCGGCATTGCAGAGTGGTGAATGTTTATTTGCACCATTTCTTTGTCAGTCTCTGTTAGTGTAGCTAGTCAGCTGCCTTCTCTTGCTTAGATGATGGAGATCCCCTGTGGTGGTCAGCCTCCCCCAACACCACCCCTGAACCCACTGCTCCACCCATCCCCTGTAACTGATCCACAAATCACACCCTGCCACATACCCCCATCATCTGCCTCAGGCCAAAACACCCCCGCAAGCAGGACAGGAAATCAGCCATGACCATCTGTAGCCCTGGCCTATGGACCACCTTGAACTTAAAAGGCCAGATATCACCGGGGTTCCCCACAGGGAGTTTCTTCACCTGCACGAATGCCACCTGGCTCTGCTCTGTCCACCGGACCAGATCTGGGGCACCATTTCAGCTGAGGGCAGTCAAGGGGCTGGTAAGTGCTGCGAAGTTTTTGGCTTTAGGAGATGGATAGGATGTAATGGCTGTTGTTTTCTTCATATGAGGGTGCACCTGCCCACATCCAAAGAGGGACCCCTGGCACTGTACCTCCCTCCATCCAACCGCACACTTCTCGGGTTTGCTAAAATGTGGTTCGGCCTCTAAACAAGCTGAACGGAAGTGTGACAAATTGGTACAAACTGTAGGCCGTTCTTTTCCTCAGACATCGGAGACAAGGGAATCTGCCGGTAGCTCTGATTTTCCATGTGCCCTCCAACTGGTTCTGTGTACTACTGTGCAAAATATGTCCCGTGGCCAAATGACAGAGATATATAGTTGTTTTTTTCCAGATCAAAGAGACATTTTATTGACTGAATATTTCCTGAAGATAAATCAGCCTGGTCTCTCTTCTAGCAGTTGCAGTTCCTGCTATTTAAAACACACTGGCAGCAAATTAGAACTGAAAATAAAAATCTTTATAAATTTTCTACATCAACAAGTTTATTGTTTCTATGGAGCATATACCACTATTCCACTTAAACTCTGAGACTTTCCTTTCCTTTCTGGGGCGATCGTGCCTCAAGAGTTGGGAGTTTGCCTTGTAATTGGAAGGTTGCCGGTTCGAGCCCCGGCTCTGACAGTCTCAGTCGTTGTGTCCTCGGGTAAGACGCTTCACCCGTTGCCTACAGAGGGTGACGCCAATGCCCGGCAGCCTCGCCTCTGTCAGTGCGCCCCAGGGTGGCTGTGGCTACAATGTAGCTGCCATCACCAGTGTGTGAATGGGTGGATGACTGGATGCATAAAGCGCTTTGGGGTCCTTAGGGTCTAGAAACGCTATACAAATACAGGCCGTTTATCATTTCCTGAGACCAGCACACAATTCCAACTTCGTCACAATGCTCCTATTTGTTTTACCACATGATTCCAGATCTCAGTATTTACATGAACTATTGTTACTAAACTTGGACTCTTTGTCTTATTGTCCATTCATCTTTACCTAAGCTTAAGTCCAGTACTTCTGTTATATCTGCAGAGATTAGGAGTTAAGCCTCAACCTATGAGGGCACAGGATGAGGCTCGCATGGGATTCATGAAGATCAAAACTAAACACACTCAATGAATCTTAATGACATCATTCTGTCAATCATCACATGTTTTGGAGAAATCGTCGTGCAAACAAGGAAAGAAAAGTAAAAAGACTGTTAAAGACAGCAGTGTGCTGCTCAGTGTGCTTCAGAAAAATCTTTGTTAACATTTGTGTTGCTCACAACAAACCGATGTATAAGGCAAAGCATGCAGAGAAAGATTTACTGTAATAACCACACAGCTGTTGTTGGACTCACCTTTGTTTTTTGCTCAAAGATGTGAAACTTTGCACGTGTTTGGTTGACTTTTAAGCTTTCTAGGAGTTTTTCAAGAAAATCTAGAAGCTGGCATAGAATAAGATTTCATTTTTTATTAATTTAAACATATATATTTAAATGAAAAGACTATATGTGTTTTCCTTCTGTTTATCACATATTTATGGGCAAATTCAGACCAATCGCATGCATGTTTAAATGATCCTCTGCTGAGCAGCCTCTTGATTTTATCCTGCTGTGGATTTTGTATCTTGTAACGCTGGCGTGATGTTTTACTGTGAGTCTGGAGTTTTGGTCATAGTGAACCTGCATAACTCCTGCTGTTTGTGAGATACTCGCACCAGAAGCATCAGTGGGAATCAAAAGGAAATGAAAAAACTCATGTGTAATGTGAATTGAATTGGGTCGCGTCTAATTAATTTTATAGCTTTTCACAGTATGCATGTATTCCTTATGGTGGCACAGTGTGTGTCGGGGGTCTAGTGAGGATGAAGTCGCTGGAGCTAGTGATGAGCGATACCACTGATTTCCTTTCCAATCCGATACCAAGTAAAAATAAGGGTGGTATCGACGATACTGATCCAATACCGATACTTTGTACAAAAACGTATTTTATTTATTTATTGTATCTTTTATTGTATCTCAAATCATCGTGATTACAGGACATCAGATTACTTGTTCTTATCATTTAATAATGCAGAATTCATCATATAGAAATGAAAAAACTGAAGTTGTGCCTATCTGAGCACGCTGCCTGCCTGCAGCACTAAAGGACTCCGTGAGAGACGTCTGTCTCGCCCTGGCAGCACCTGTCCCTGTCCTCCTCTTCAGTTCGCCTCAGCATACGCTCGTCTTATTCTGTGATATGATTTACTGTGAGGTGTTTGACGAGGTCAGCGGTGTTGCCACAACACCTCACTTTCTTGCCACATGTATCACAAACCGCGTCTCGGCTGTTTGTGGAGGTAAAATACGTCCACACATTACTCCATTTACACTCAGCCATTGTTGTGAGTGCGCACGCCAGAGGCTGCAACACATTTATGCAGCCGTGTTTCACACATGACTATGAAAGGTGGAAGAGGACGTAGTTCCTTCCAATGTAGACAATCCGAATGATATAGTTTCTTTCCACTGTGTTCCTGTTAATGATAAACTACAAATTTACCCTAAATTACTAAAATATCGATATTTTAATGTGAGAATCGATTCTAGAACATAAATGATTGGTATCAGAGGAACCGATATTTCAGTATCGATCCGCACACCACTAGCTGGAGCACCAAATAACATTTGATGTTGAAAGCAGTGTGTGGCTCTCTCTCTCTCTCTGCTAATAGGAGTGAATGGAGATCGCCCAGCAGTCTCTGTCTGTCTCACGTTCTCGCAGTAATCATTAGAATAAGATATTTATCTGTTATTGATATATCCATATAATGTTTATTGACTCTTCACAGTCCACATCAAAAATAATAATGAGATATTGAGGATACTGTTTTCCTTCCAAAGCTGTCATTCAGTGCTGACGAGGCCAAATGACTCTGGATAATAAACAGTGAATCCTTGCGCCTGGCTCTACAAGAAGCAGGAACCTAACCCTTGTCTGGTCGTGGTCACGTGATCTGGGTGTTTTGACCCACGCCTTGAGCAGTGTTTGCCAGATCTGCGCTTCTGACGCTCGTGACAGTGTTAAACGTCTGTTTCGAGGCTGCCGGCCTGATGCCCAGATCAAGGCAGCCAATCCAAGCCTTCAGTTTCTGTACCACGTGATTTTGAAACGCGGAAAAACACCTAAGACCTTTGGTTCCAGTCTCGGAGCGGAGGTCCGGAGATGATGAAGCGGGCCGTGGTGCACGTGTCCGTGGGCTTCCTGCTGTGTGTCGGCCTGGTGAACACCGGCCTGTTCGCGGACGTTGACGTGGACCTGAGTTCCGAGCACTACGCGGAGAGGCGGGTCGACGGTCTGCCCGCGTTCTTGGCGATGCCCTGTAACTGCGTGGTCAATGTGGGTTACGTGTGCGTGGGGCTGTACTGGCTGCTGTGGCGCGGGGACGACGCTGAGTCGGAGCGCCCCCGCTACCTGAGGCACGTGTTCGCCCTCATGGCCGTCTTTTACGGCCCCGTACAGTGGACGCGCCTGGCCATGCTGCGGCGCGCTCCAGCCGTTCTCGACCAGTGGCTGACTTTACCGATCTTCGCGTGGGTGCCGGTGTGGATCGACTTTATCGAAAGGCGGACCGAATGGCGCGCGTCGCACGCGGCGACGCTCGAGCTCGGCTCCGTTCTCAGCTACGGACTGGCGATCGCACACCGACGCGGCTTCGACACGGCGCTCGCAGGTCACGTGCTCTTTGCTGTGTACAAAGGGGTTGACGTGCAGCGGACGCACGGAGATGTGCGCACGCGCAGACACCTCGTGCTGGCTTTGCTGTCGTGTGCAGGCTTCGTGCTCCTGAAGCTGCTGGATCACCACCTGGCTCAGTACCGCCTGTTCCAGCGCTTCACCGGACACTTCTGGTCCAAAGTGTGCGACGTGCTGCAGTTCCACTTCAGCTTCTGCTTCCTGACCAGGCTGACGAGCAGAGCGCGGGCCAAGACTGAGCCGCAGCAGCAGTGACAGCCACGCAGCATCCACGCAGCATCCTCCAGCTGGGAGTTCATTCTGTCTCATTCCACACAAGACCACATCTTCACCTCAGCATAACTCTAGATTCTGTTCAGCTTCAATACTTTAGTTCCACATAAATATTGATTCTCCCTGAGCTACAGGAGCAGCTGCAGCATTCGATGTGCCCCAGCCACGTGGCTCCAGCTCCAATCAGCTGTATCTAATAATAGAAAAATGAGCAGAACGATGCCAGTGGGAGGGCAGAACAAAGAAAACCGCTGCTCTCAGGAAAAGGACCACCAGGATAGCCCCCCAGACTTTTGTGGACTCTTGAGACCAAAGCTGACCACTGCAGTGTAGCTGAAGTAAACATGTGACATTAAGCTTCACCACCCCTTAGGGCTGCTCTGCTGGAGGAGGGGTGAAGGATACAATGTTCAGTGGTGCACATGTGCAATCTGAGTTAAAATAAAGAAAAGTACACATGTCTGTGTGTTGTTTAGTCTGACTGTGACTTACAGCCCATTAGTACCTACTCAGATCGACTCGGCATGGTTCGGCTCAGTTTTCAGGGTTTCCCATTATGTCACAGCATGTGGCACCCCTCCTCACAGGGGCGGATCTACAGGGGCAGCATGTGCCACCCTAGTTTTGCATATGTCAGTGTTGTTCATTAAAATAAGATAGCACCCCCCACCACCACTTAAAATGGTTCAGCCCAGAGCCTTTTCACATCTTACACTGGGGATTGATTGTGTGAGTGTTATTCACCCTCCGGGGGCAGCTATTGGTGTAACTGTACCATGATTTGGCAGCACCTGTGATTTGGTTATTTAGGAAGAGGGGAAAGTTTTGGGACGGCGGCGAGAGAGCGATATCGACAGCGACTTTTGAGTTGTGAGAGATTTGTGACGTTTAGCGTGTAGTTAGTGTGTAGTGTAGTCATGAGCTTTGTGTGTCAAAATGTTACACCCCTGAAAACAGGGGAAAAGAATCACGAGAGTGATTATGACTTGCGTCTCTCATGCAGTCGTTTATTGCAGTGAGGAGAACGCGCGAAAGCCCCCTAGTGGAGAATAGAGACACTACTAATCGATCCCAGAAAAGGCTTACTAGCCGATCAGAGATGTATAGATTGTAGTTCTCTTAAGTAACATGAAAGCCATTAATATAACATGAAAAATAATAAACTCTTAACCATTTTCTTACCATATTTACATTATTTTCGTCCTTATATCAACTGATATGAATTAGTATTAACTGAACAGTTTTATATGCAGTAGTCCTTATACCTGTCACAAAAACAATGAGGAAAGCCACCAAAGGCAGACGGCAGTGGAAACACTGGACTGATGCAGCAGCCTTACTCCTGTGCTGTTCTCCTCTGTCTTGTGGCCGACAAACTATTTTTTGCACTGGCACAAATAATTTGTGGGGCATCTTTTTGTGACAACTAATTGTTCTCTAATTTTAGTGTTAGTAGTATTTTTAAATAGCTGTACAAAAAATGCCAGATGTATTATTTTTAGGTAAATGGTTAAATATAACTTTATTTCTAACTTAATCTACAATTTATATTTGCATTTCAAGTTATGAAAATAATTCAATAAACATGTCTGTGGTTTTTACAGTAAAAACAGAACTTTCTCCTACTCGGTTTTTATATTTTTATGTGATTTCAGATCAATTGTGTTAGTACAGTATGTCAATGAAAACATTACTGTAAGTTCAGACATGAGATTGTGCTGAAAAGAATGATGCCACAGAAGGCACGAGAAGAAAATTTAAAGGTGAAATACAAAGTAGTGAAAAGTGGCCAATGGTACCCTGGACCCCAGAGGCTTAACCTGAAAAGTCAGGTTTCTGTTGATGGCAGCGCAGATTTAGAGGTAACTTTGGGTTCCCTCTTGTTCCTCTAGCACAAAGTGCAGTTAGCTGCAACATCTTTCTAAATTCTTCTTTTACTGTCATTTTCTTAAACTGACAGCCCATCAAATACGTGTGTCTACTGTCCATTTTTATAGTTGCATACTATCCTAATAACAGTTCCAAAGTTATTTCTACAGAGAATTTACTGTAAATTAGAAGCTTTATTGTGCCATATCAAACCTACAAAGGCAAAGTCATTCATTACTCTGTTAAAGACTCGTACTGGGAGACATGGTCAGTGCAGTTTAATGTCAGAGAGATATTCCTGAAACTGCTGGATAAACAGACACTCACTCAAGAACGAGTAGCACAGTTGAGGTCATAAAGGGCAGGAAGTTAAACATCACTATACCATCTGACACGCTGGGGAGGGGAACAGAAACAAGGGAATGTCTTCGATCATGCTGTTTAGGACAAGGCTTACAACTTGAAGCACAACAATGGCAACATTTAATGAAATCACTCTAAAATATAAGACATTGTAACAAAAAAGAAGCATTGATGAAGCGTCCAAAAAGCCCCATGATGAGTAAAATCCTAGAGAGAGCGCATCTTTCACACCTGATCAGCGTGCTGTATGAGCGAGGCTTGTTGTGTAAAGCACTTTGATTTCTCCTGGAGAGTAGAAAAGTGCTGCATAAGAGTCCGTCCATTTACCATTAAAAGATGTATGGATGTTCTGCTTTGTCATTTCATAGACTTGGTCACTGGTACTTTCTTATTATAAGGATGCTCCTGCTCTGCTCCCATTCTACCTGCTGGCTCTTTAAAACGTGTGGGAAGTTTTGTCTTTGGTTCCAAGATTTCTTCCTTCTGTCTGTCCCCAGAGTTGGAAAAAGAGCAGTGAGATTTGCAGGCCTGCCCTCGTGCAGCATCAAATAAAACTTAATGAGCTAGTCTTACAAAAAGAATTGTACAGATTTATTTAACAAAGCTTGTTTATTTCACAAATTAATAGTAAGACACAGAAACTCAGTATTGATATGGATTAAACTTGCGAGAGCGAGTTACTCACAGCATGCATTACAAAGCGAGCACCTCATTGTTGATGCTGCTTTGTTTGGTGACCCTGTGTTTGGTTGGTGAGTAGGTCTGTAGGCCTTTAGACTGCAGGGTGACTCAGGGGAGAACCACTGATAACGCTTGTTTGCATTAGGACTCCAGCTGCATTTGTTGTTCTGTTTTTACATTTTGTTATCTTTGAAAAGTAACCTCATTGGTTTTTGTGCTGTAATTAGTAATGTGAGTATTTGGTAACAGAAACAGAACTCAATTCATGCGAGTAATGCAAAGTGAAGCTTTTTATTGATGAGAAAGCACCATGAGATGTGTGTGTGTGTGTGTGTGTGTGTGTGTGTG